AACGAATAAATGTACCGCTACTATGTACCTACAGATTTTGTATAAATATTCTAGAAATACATAATTATTCTAGCCTTATCAATAACCTGTCATTACAGGATGATACCCTGTTGTAACCGTGGCTGGTTCCCTTATTTACCACTATAATGTCTTAAAGCATAAAACTTAGTAGGGCTAACCATACAGATATATTAGCCATAATTTTATATAGTTAGTAAGAGATCCTCTATTTAACATATATAAATAATTGAGAATACAATACAATATAAAACAAGGATTGTCTTGGAAGCAATAGTTTTGTCTTTTTGGATATTTATTATATATAAATATAAAATCCATTATAGCAGAGTTTATAAGATTAAATTACATGCTTGCAAATATCATTAATAGGTTAACATACCCTTCTGAACATGTCATCATGTCAGCCTCTCTGTCATTTTAAGATGGAGCAGCGTCTGTCTCCAAGTCTCTCCTCTGTGTCTTAACATTTAAAAGTACACCTATTTATACCTTAGGTGTCTCCATTTTAGGGTTACCGTAGTTCATTTACTTTATTCATTTTAGGACCTCCCTTAATTTGGCAAACATACAAGGCCATAACTAAAGGGTGTATACGTCATGGAAATTTTCCTGACTTAGTTCAAGATGGCATCTTAAAGTCTGGACATCCTTATCTACTTAAGGTTACCACAGTAGCATAGCCTTGAAGCTTGTTTATGCATTATTGTTATTGTAATTCGTCTGGGACGCAAACATATTATGCACTGGGGTTATTGCTTAAAGAAACATTTATGAAAAACAATATGTTCCATTTCTAACACCTTGTCAGTTTGCAATATCTCTTAAAGACAAAGTACACAGTTTAAGAAATACAACATTTCATTCTAAAACTTGTAATATTTGCATTTGCCCATAACACTGTTTTACATCCAAATATAAAAGTCATCCACCCTCATCGAACATTTTCTTTAAATACATTTACCTTTTATTCTCAAACCTAAATTCTATATTCATCTAAATGTAATGCTTCCAAGAAAAAGAAAAAAAAATGTATCCATAGCAAAAATGTGTTTTAATGTGAAAGTGTCTAATACATATTCAAACTGAGATTTAAAGTATTACCACAAATTTTACTTTTGGAAACAATAGGTAGAAGAAAAAGTAGTACAGCTTTTTCAAATTAACATCACACTTTTAGGTGTCAATCAATTTCCAAGTTTTATTTTTTTCTCTTAGGTTACTTCATAAATGTACTTTTATTCAGGGATACATAGGCTTAGTAATGACAGCTGAAGATGACAACATTCATTTAAGCAGGTAAACATTACCATCGCTTAACCCCTTAAGGACTGGACTGTTTTTGCGATGTTGTACATTTGCGACCAGGAATATTTTTACACTTTTGTGGTGTTTGTGTTTGGCTGTAATTTTCCGCTTTCTCATTTACTGTTTCCATACAAATTATATATTGTTTTTTTCAGGACAAAATGGGCTTTCTTTACATACCATTATTTATATAATCTCATGTATTTTAATTTAAAAAAAATACAAAAATCTGATGAAAAATTGAAAAAAATACATGTTTTTTGACTTTTACTTGAAAAATCTTTTACTCATCTACAAAAGCGAATGAAAAAAACTGCTAAATAGATTCAAAATTTTGTCCTGAGTTTAAAAATACCTAGTGTTTACGTGCTTTTTTGCTTTTTTTTGCATGTTATAGGGCTATAGGTACAAGTAGGATATTGCGGTTTAAAACATACATTTTTAAAATTTATCAATAGTGACATTGTAACACTATTATCTGTCATAAATCTCTGAATAACACCCCACATGTACATATTTTTTTTAAAGTAGACAACCCAGGGTATTCAATATGGGGTATGTCCAGTCTTTTTTAGTAGCCACTTAGTCGAAAACACTGGCCAAAGTAAGCATTCATATTTGTTTGTGTGTGAAAAAAGTAAAAAAACTAAATTGAACGCTAATTTTGGCCAGTGTTTGTGACTAAGTGGTTACTAAAAAAGACTGGACATACCCCATTTGCAATACCTTGGGTTGTCTTCTTTTGCAAATGGTATGCCATCATGGGGGTAATTCTCATTCCTGGGCTACCATACGCTCTCAAAGGCAACGTAACCAACCTGGCCATTTTCAATGTAAAAATATTTGACCCATATATTTGACCTTGTAACTTTCAAAAATGCTATAAAACCTGTACATGGGGGGTACTGTTTTACTCGGGAGACATCGCTGAACACAAATATTAGTGTTTAAAAACTGGAAAACGTATCACAACAATTATATCATCAGTAAAAGTGCTGTTTGTGTGTGAAAAATGCAAAAAAAGTAACTTTCACTGACAATATCATCGCTGTGATATGTTTTACTGTTGTGAATCACTAATATTTGTGTTCAGCGAAGTCTCCCGAGTAAAACAGTACCCCCCATGTACAGGTTTTAGGGTGTCGTAGAACGTTACAGGGTAAAATACAGTGCTAGCAAATTAAATTCTCTGAATTTCGGCCTGGGTTGGCAGGCAGGTCCCTCAAATTGCAATCAATAAAATTACTGATTATATATACATAAATTAGAATTAAATATATATATATTTATATATTTGAAGTCTACGTGTATATTTATATAATTATTTATGTAATTTTGTATATGGACGTATGTATATTTCTTATTATTTTTATTTTTTTTATATACATAGATATATATACAAATTCATTCTAAGTGTATTTTGATATAAATATATATATATTAATTTTAAAATACAGTTAGAATAAAATTTCATATAGCTATAATTTTTTTTAAATTTTTTATTATTATTTAAAAAAAATATTTAATTTAAATTACTTATTTATATTTTATAATAATATATATATACAATATATATAGTTATTATATATATTTATATACGTGTGTAATTTAATTATAAGTGTATTTTTATATTAATATAAGTACATATTAATATAAAAATACACTTAGTATGACATTATATATATGATATATAGACATATATTATATAGATATAATATGTCTATATATCATATTTATACATATATAATTATTATTATTTTTTTTATTACCATTAACTTTAATTTTTTTTCTGATTTTACAGTTGCAGGGAGACTGCCTGTCAGTACAGACAGTCCCCCTGCAGGCAGACACATGGACACCTATTGTGACCATGTGATCGCTGTGTAAGCGATCACATGGCCACAGGGGTCCTAATCTGCCGTGGGGAGACTGTCTGGGCTGCAGGCAGTCTCCCCACAACCGGAGCCACGCTGATCGCCGCCGGGGGAACGACGGCGATCAGGTAAGTAGCCCCAGACCGTTTGGACGGTTCAGGACCGTCATCGGTCGGCAAGGCAAAAATGCCGATGACGGTCCTGAACCGTCCTCGGTCCTTAAGGGGTTAAAGGTATAAAATAGTAACAGAAACATTGTTTTCCTGGCACTATAGCTCCATATAGTGCCCTCCTCCGTCTTGCGCCCCCTACCCAACCCCATGGTGCAGAAGCAGTGAACAAAAAACCTGTCACGTACCGAATACCAGCGTCGATATCAATCGATTCTGGCTCAGCCTCTGCTCCTTCCCCACCGATGTCAGTTGACAGGGGGAGACCTAATGAACATGCACGGATATGGCTGTGTTCGCATTTGGATTCTTCCCTCCCTGCCCCCCGTAGGAAAACATTGTATAATGCTTTCCTATGGGATTTTTGGTGACGCTGGATGTCCTTATGCATTGTGTGATGACATCTAGCGCCAGTTAGGTGACCAAAAGTTGCCTGAAGAAACAGATGTCCTTCAGGTGGCTGTGTAGTAGACAGTCACTAGAAGTGAAGTTAACCCTCAAAGATAATTATTTCAGTTAATTAAAAACTGCAATAATTACCTTTGCAGGGTTAAGGGACCTGGGACACTGCACCTAGACCACTTCAATGATCTAAAGTGGTCTGGGTGTCTATAGCGTCCCTTTAAATGTTACCTGACAATAATATATGATCCACAGCTGTTTGAGATTAAATAAACAGCTCAAGAAAAGGAACTATGGGCACCATGATAGTCTAAAACAGGGGTTCTCAATTAATTTTCCCCCTTTGACATAATGTACTAACAATGTGGAACCCCAAAATATTTTGGGGCGCCGTAGCGCAGACAGTAAACAGATAGTAGTACTTAGGAGCAGGTGTGCTTTTGAGTGTACAGTTGGTGTTTGTATATATTGTTACCGTTTTGATACAGGGGTGTGTTTGTGTGTAATGTTTGCATTCGTTTGCAGGGGTGTGTTTGGATGTAGTGTTAGCTTTTAAATGCGGATGTACATTTGAGTGTAGTATTAGTGTTTGAGTGAAGGGTGTGTTTGAATGTAAATTTGACATTTGAATTCAGGGGTGTTTTTGTATGTAATGTTTGTGTTTGCAGGGGTGTGTTTGCATGTTGTGTTGGTGTTTGATTGGTAAGATGTATACACATATACTGCCACATACGTACATACATACGTATGTACATAACATACACAGACACACATAAAAACATTGACACATACACACACATTTATATACACACTGTACACACAGGCACAAAGATACACACCTTGACACATGCAAAGACCTTGAGACACAGATACACACACTGGCACATACACACACATCCCAATACACACATACACACACTTAGATACACATGGTGACACATAATTTGGTAATAGATTTTATGTAAGGGGTAAGGAAATCTCACAGTCAAAGAGCACACCTGTGGGGTAGAGATTATGATAGCTTTGTTGACCTTAAAGGGACACTATAGTTGATTTAGATACCAAAGAAAACTTTGATTATTTGTCTATCTCCTCCTTTCTAAATTGATTGTGCGCATGTCTTCTGGAAGTAAATCACACCGGACACATTGCAGGTTTATAAAAAACTCCAGAGTGGCCTTTATTCCAGAGGGTGCAATTCCCTTTTAAAGCAGAAATACGTCATGTACAGAGTCACAGTTAACATACAGTATACATTCATCAATTGGTTAACAGTCTAAGGGGTCTTGTCTAAACCCCCCCTACAGGATGTAGTGTCGCCATTACAGACTTCTCCCACCCATATTTCGGCTCCATCTTGGTTACACGATGGGAGGGGGGAAGTGAGTAGTAGTCACTTTAACAGTGATTCTCTATTTTGTTAGCTGTTACTTTGCACAAAGGAAGTGGGGGAGGAGTTTAATAAAGGAAGATGTTCTTTTAACACAGGAATTTGTTACATGAGGCTTGCTCGATGGGAAGGGGGAGGCTAGCAGGGTGGAAGGAATTTGCAGAGAAAATAGTGACTGAACACATTGTAGGGGGGGAAGGGAATATTTACTCTAGCAGCCAGTTTTAACATAGTGAACACGGAATAAATAGACATTAGTAAATAGCCATTTTATTTTAATTCTTCTGTCCATAACATAGCCACCTGAACAACTTTAGCTTAATGAAGCAGTTTTGGTGTATAGAACATGCCCCTGCAGACTCACTGCTCAATCCTCTGCCATTTAGGAGTTAAATCGCTTTGTTTATGAACCCTAGTCACACCTCCCTGCATGTGACTTGCACAGCCTTCCATAAACACTTCCTGTAAAGAGAGCCCTATTTAGGCTTTCTTTATTGCAAGTTCTGTTTAATTAAGATTTTCTTATCCCCTGCTATGTTAATAGCTTGCTAGACCCTGCAAGAGCCTCCTGTATGTGATTAAAGTTCAATTTAGAGATTGAGATACAATTATTTAAGGTAAATTACATCTGTTTGAAAGTGAAACCAGTTTTTTTTTCATGCAGGCTCTGTCAATCATAGCCAGGGGAGGTGTGGCTAGGGCTGCATAAACAGAAACAAAGTGATTTAACTCCTAAATGACAGTGAATTGAGCAGTGAAATTGCAGGGGAATGATCTATACACTAAAACTGCTTTATTTAGCTAAAGTAATTTAGGTGACTACAGTGTTCCTTTAAGGGAAAAATGCACAGATGTAGCCTTAGAGGGGGGAAAGACGAGGAGTTCAGCCCTGGAGTGTTTGAGTTTTAGGAATTATGAAGTCATCAAGTCAGAAACTGAGACTAGGTTGTCTGTGACACTATACAGAAGACGGGGAGAAAGATCAGGTGAGGAAAGGTGGATCTCAGTATCATCAGGGCACAGTAAGCCATAAGATGATATTAGTTCACAAGCAGTGTGAATTGAGAAGAGCGTAGGTTCCAGTACGGAGCCTTGAAGGAACTCTAAAAGGTAAGATCAGAAGATTGGAAGGTGGTTAGATGGGTGATAGATAACCACAATGTGTAGTGAAAAGGGTGAAAAAGGCAGATGGCATGGAGCTCAAAAGTAAGAAGTTGAAAGGTACAGCAAGACGAGAGAAGGAGACCCACTCCACCACCCTTGCAGTCACCAGTTCTAGAAGTATGTGAGAGTTGGAGGCCATCATAAGATAGGGATTCAGAGGTAGTACAGTCAGAGGGGGAGAGACAAGTTTCAGTTGGGACCCGTAGTAGGAGGGAGGGGAAGATGAAGTCATGAATGAAAGCTGATATGGTAATGCTAAAGAAAGAGCAAGCATTCCAGTGAGTGCAAAGGAACAGGGGAGCAGAGTTGGATCCAGAGGGAATGTGTGTAATGTAAAAGAAATTCCTAGGGTGAAGAAACAAGAGCAGTGAAAGGGTTAGGGGAGATGTGCCTTGCTGACAAGAGCAAGAGAAAAGTAAGCGAGAGGAGGTGGGAGTGAAATTTGAAGGTGTAGGAGGGGTAATGAGGTCTAAAATAGAAGATAAAAGGAGTGGGGAGATTTGAATGTAGAAGAGAGGGAGAAGGGTGCAAAGTAAGGGACATTTGTGGGATGTATGAGGGCAATTAAATCATAAAATGGTTTTATAAAACAGGGAGGCAACAGAGAAGGTAAAGATTAAAGTGGAGCACTATTGAGCACTAGAGAGGATATTGAACACTACTTCTTCAACTCTATCGCATGGAGTTGAAGAAGTGGTGTTCAATATCCTCTCACTCAGGTTGTGATTTTGCCAGTAGTTGCCTGCGTCTCTGGAGTGTCGCATATGGCTTTATATACGTACATTTTAATACCATTTTTTTTTTCATTTTAACAAGAGCACTAATTACAGCTGCTTCACTGAGTGAAGGGTGTTGAGTTGTACTCAAGTGCAGCGAGCACTAGGAGTATGCAGAGAGCAGTTCACCAGCACTCTGTGAATAGTTCTGCATTTAGGTTGCTGAATGGGAGGCTGTCTGTCAGCCTGATGTGCTTGGTGATAGGCTGACATGCCCCCTTCAGTTGCTGGGAACACCCACTTCCTGTGTAGAGCTGTCCATTGTTATTGTCACTAGGACCATAAATTATGTCACTAGCAATGCCCCTTAGAAGGCACACCCATTTGTCCCAATTACATGCCAATGTTGGGAGGTATAGGAGGTGATAAAAGATTTATATGACTACAGACATCTATAAGGTGATAATATGACTCTGTGCCACTCTTAATATGTATCAGGGTTACTAGTTTATCCAGCATGCAGAAATAGTATCACACCTAGGACTAAGAAAAACGTCTAACCGGATCTTAGTAAGGCCGGACTTAACGTACCCAAGAATAGTCAAAATACTTGCTGAGGTCAGGGATACAGAATGAGACACAATGATGAGGGAAGACCAAAATTCAAGGATACCAAAAATCAAGGAAGTCAAAATGAAGCCAATGTCAAAAAACAGAAATATACGATCACACTCTCGGATAACCAGCAAAGGGAAACCACAACAGGGCACTGATCAAAAGGCAATTTGGTTTTAAATAACCTTCCTAAAGCTGTAATTGGCTGTATGTGGCCTCTGACCCCAAAACGTGCGTGCCATCTATGACGTGACATCGCATGCACGTAAGCGCCATCTTTAATGTGGGCAAAGGCTATATCCCCATTAAAACCAGAACTGAAGAGGCCGGCGTCTCTAGGAACGCCGCACACGCTGGGTACCGGGACGGAAGGAGGTCAGGTAGTGATTTGCCGTGAGCAAGGTAAGTATTTATTATTTCGGTCGGCGTGACCGCTGTTCTACATTGCGGTCACGCCGACAGAATCCCGTATGAAAAAAATCAACCCCCAACTAGTTATTGTACAAGACCCTCAATCCTTTAACAGTCATATAAAGTTTAACAGATACATTTTACAGTAGACATGACAAACTGATACAAGATGCAGGTAAATCATTTGAGTAGCCATTTTGCTAATTTTTTTTTTGTTCATTCCTATTTTGGTCAAACCATGCACCAAGCTTTATAATAGTCTCAGGATGATTAACATGAACAAGAATGCAGACTCAGACGTAATGCATTGGGTAGTGTTTATGTTCTTGTGTAGGCTTGGAATTATTGATACACTGCAAAACAAAAAAGAATAAGGCCAAGAAACAAGTGGCTGCAACCCACAGTATTTACTTTTTGCTTGAACTAAACAAAGTGGTAACTGTGAAGAGGATGCATTGTTGGACAAGGGGGTGGGTCTGAGTGGGTATGTGTTCTGTGAAGGCTTTTATTGACCTGCTACAAGATGAAACAGCATGTCCCCACCGATACAGGATAGATGAACACAGCCACTGGGTGTCTGCCAGTCTCTGATATATTATTGAGCTAAAATGATCAAACCCCACCCATTTATTTTTCTTTTAATGTTCCTGAGAGTAGTCTTTTTAAATTGGTCATTGTACTGTTCTTCTTGTCCTTTAATTTGGTTTAGTTAACAGGATGGTTGGTAACTCACAAATAGTTTAAAGTAGACTTCCAAGATGCATTGGGGAGAGGTGAGCCTTGAGGAAGAGTTGAAAATAACTAATTTAGTGAATTTTTCTTGTTAGATCAAATTTCGTAGCAGCTTGCTTCTAGTGAGTAATATCAGAATTGTGAAAAATTCACTACTCCAGCTTGCATTATTAAGGCTAAGTAAGACCAACTGGGAAACAAATAACCAGAAGAACTCATTCCCAACTTGGAGATTTTCTCAACTATGTCCTTTTATCCTAATGTTAGCATTGATTGTCTTTAGTTTGGGGATCGAACACCTAAAACGTGTAACTACAGAACAATGACAAAAAATGTTTTCACTATGACAAGAAAAATCAGCTTAATAGGTTTTGCATGTAAATTAGAAAGACAAACATTGTTTACAACATGCATTAGACATTAACAAGAATTTAAATATATAGGATTCTTATAAAAGAGATGCATTATAATGCTTCTCTATGTGTAGACTTACCTGTGTTCAGAGACATTAAAACTCTGAACGTGAAAACTGTAAATTTTGTATAGTTTTCACTTACGAAGGGCCTATAGTGGCTCTTTGATTATAGCCACGAGAGTCATAATAACAGGCAAACATAAACAGTGGCATTTCTCACAAATACAATGCTTACATGTTCCACAGTGCTAGACAGCATCAGGGCACCAAAACCACTACATTAGGACATCAGTAAGAAATATTCAGAGAATAATGATCCATAGCCAAGGTATAGTAACATTAAATAATAAAAAAAAATTGATTCAATAAACCCTCAGGCAGTAGGACTAAATAAATCATTTTCTTTCCAAGTACAAAAAGTGACATATAAGATTATTAATCTATAAACACTACATAAATTTCACTCTCATGAATTTTCCTCTCTAGCTTTAAAAAAAAAGTTTTGGGGGATTTTTAAGTGTGCTAGAAAGATATATATATTATATATATAATGTGTATATATATATTTAAAAAAAATCATCTTGATTTCATAACATTCTTATAACTGGACTCTTGGCCAAGCTTTAACATCTTATTTAACCAGCATAAAATGTTGTATATCTGCCAAGAAACCGCATGAAATGCTATATCTTTGCCAAAAGACTGCAGTAGACTTTACATACTGGAGGATCAGAATGATTATCTCAAAGGGCGTATTTTTAATATTCAGAAAAGCTGGTTATTTATTAAAGTGAGAACGTTCGGGAATTTATAAGTGAATTTCAAATTAAAACTAGCTGAAATGGAAGCATAGCCGACTTCGGTTATTTTTCCATCTCTTCTATTTTGACCTTTATTTTGAAATTTAACTTATTATTTCTCAAATAATCTCTCTTTAGTAAACTTCTTTGTAAGGTTTGTGTTTTTTTTTTGTTTTGTCTGTTTAGTATTTATCAAATGTTTCTATACCAAAATCATTACTTAATTAGGTGAGGCAGTCAGTACAGATTTTTATTTATTTGATTCAATTAAATGTATGCACATAAAACAACAAAGAAGGAAAAAGTAGGTGTATGAGGAAGGGAAATGCCCAACACATTTCGCTTGAGCAGAGCTTAGTCATAGGCCTAGCAATGGTTTTATTTTGACCAAAATCTATAACCATGTACACAGCCTTTCAAAAGCAATTATCCTTTTATATGGCAGTCATGTGTATTTCATCCTTCTTCCTTCCCAGAGAAAAAAAATGTGGGTTTTCAGTTCTGTAAAGCATGAAATGCATCAGACATTTCATTTCTCATGCTTATTTGCCTTATCAACAGTTTTAATTTGTTTAAATTGTATTATATAATTATTTCAGCTTGCCTAGTCAAGCATCTTTGACATAGTGCTTTAAAACACAAAACACATGAAACCTCCTCCGTATTCCCTACAACCTTTTTAGGTCTGCCATATTGTCCCCACAAATGGTTTTGAACAGCAACTGTCACAACGCTCATAATGGGAGTTGCATTATTAGATAATGGACTGCGAATATGTCACACTACAGTTTCAACATAATCAGAATGTGGCATCACTGGAAGTGACCTTCCATAAAGGAACACTCTAATAACCATAACCACTGCAGCCTGCTGGGCATTGTTTGCTAACTTACCTGGGTCCCCTGGATACCCGTGCCACATCCAGTCTACTACTGCAAGAGGCCCCAGATATTACTACAGCTTAAAGCAGGGGTTCTCAACGTTAGTCCTCAGGACCCCCTACCAGTCCAGGGTTTAGGGATTACCTGGGTGTGTCTAAGGTGTTTAGAAAAAAAAAACACCTTAGACTCCGAGTCTAAGATGTTTTTTTCCCTTTTTCTAAACACCTGAGACACACCCAGGTAATCCCCAAATCCTGGACTGGTAGGGGGTCCTGAGGACTGGGTTGAGAACCCCTGGCTTAAAGCATGGCCAATGCAGGATGACAAAGAAGATGGGTTCATTTATATATATAAATATATCTTAAAAAAATTACCGGTATGTAAGCAAATAGATACTTTAACTGATAAGTGTTGTTTAATAAATAAAAGGTAATACTTTCTGGTGACAGTGTAAAACGGAAAACCCTCAAAAAAAAGAGATACATTTAGGTAAGTACTATACATTCCATTAAGAATTAGAATTCTCAAAATTATACAGGTGTGGCGTGTCTTTACTTCAAGTCATCCAAGAATTAGTTGTTAATGCTTGACCTCAGGCATTTTCTTGCATCCTTAGATATAAATCACTTAACATCAAAGGTCTCAGAAGAAATGTAACCGGTTTAATATTATTTAGAAACTTTGTAGAGCTCACAAGAAACAAGTCAACATTTTATTAAATTGACAATCAGAATAATTATGATATTTAATCCATTATCTATTCTGAATGTATAAGAAATTATGTTTAACACATTTCTTTGAACCAACAGTGAATGGATATAAACAGAAACAGACCGCTTAATTCTTAATTGCACCAGGGTTACTTGTTTAAATAATGGAAAAATGATGACCAATTTCTTTTAAGTAAAACATTGAAAGTGTTATAGCCTGTGTGTGCAGTGCTGTATTTCCTGCGAGGCTAACAGGGTATTTGCCTTGTACGGCACTTTTAAGACATCCTGGCAGATGCTAGCCTTGTTAAGCCCCCAGCGGGCAGCTAATTGTTTTGTAGCGGCGAGGGAGTGCTGATGCCATGCTGTGATGCCGGGAGCCGTAATATGATGTCACTTCAGCAATGGCATCAAGTGGAGTGTGAGGGAGCAGAGCAAGAAGATTACAGCTCACTCGCCACCTCAATTGCACACCTGCCCAGCACCCACTCTGGACACCAGGAAAAAAAATTAACTCCAGCTCTGCTAAAAGTAGGGAGACCTGGTTGACTTAACCCCTTAAAGACAGAGCTTCAGAAGCTTGTCTTTCACTTAATGACAACAGCATTTTTTTCATCTTTTGCTGTTTGCGTTCAACTGCAATTTGCATTTTACTAATTTATTGCACCGACACATATTATATATCGTTTTTTAAAGGACAGAAAGGGTTTTAATTTGATGTAAGACATTATATATATATATATATATGCTTATTCATTATAAAAAATCCAGAAAAATTTAAAAAATATATATATATTTTTTACAGTTTTTGCAATAATAATGTGTGCATAATTAGTGCAAGTTAAGGAAAGTAATTAAAAATAAATTCATTTAGTTGTTCTGATTTACAGAATATATAATGTGTCTGGGATTGTACGTTTTTTTTGGTAGTTACAGGTCACAAAGCACAAGGAGTAAAATAAACTTTTAATGTGGAGCGATTTTAGAATTTGTTATGTTTGTCTTGTAAGCTTAATAGCCATAAAAGAAAACAAAATTGCCACACAAAAGTATATATTTATATAAAGTAGACATCACAGGCTATTTACCTAAGGTTGTTTTGACACTTTCTACGTAGCCATTTCACCGCCAACCTCTGCTAAATATTGGAGTAAAATTGTGTTTTTTTTTTTTGGTTTTTGGCACACAAACTTATAACAAAGAAATTCTCATTTGTATTTTGTAAAGTTGGTGTGTGCTATTCCTGTACAAAGTTTTATTTTGTGTTCAGTTACATCTGCTGAGTAAAATGACACCCCCATTGTATGTCTTTGGCACTATTTCGTGAAGTTACAGTGCCATATAGGAGACCTGTCCTTTTCAGTATTCACAGTAGAATTTTGAGAGACGGATTTAATGAGCCGATACTTCCATTTGGGGTATTATACCAGTTTAACTGTTCAAAAAAAAACCACAAAGGCCTACCATTTGTAAAAGTAGACACTCCAGGGTATCTTATAAGGTGCATATTGTGCCTTAACATGCCCCCATTTTTTCACCAATATATGCTAAAGTATGTGATAAAAAATAATTTTGTGCGTTTTTTACATATGGATTGCATTTTTGCTGGGCATTTTGTATATTTCACATGTGCCACTAAGTTCAAACCCCCCAAATTATGCTCGGCTAAGTCTTCTGAGTAAAAAGACACCCCCAATGAATGTCTTTGGCACTATTTCGTGAAGCTACAGTGCCATATAGGAGACCAAGCCATATCAGTTTTTACCGAACTTTGAATTTTGATGCTGGGCCTATGTGCAATTTCCAAGCATCTTAGCAGGGTTTAAATTCAAACTACCCCACAAAGGCCTACCATTTCTTAAAGTAGACACCCCAGGGTATTTCAAAAGGTATATTTTGAACCTTAGTGTGGGATTATTTTTCCGCTAGCATGTACAAAGTGTTTTTTCTGCCTTTTTGACACACAAAGTGAGTTTGCACAGTATATTTTGCAAATCTTATGTGTGCTACCAGTGTATAATACTTCATATGTTGCTCAGCTATGTCGGCTGAGTACAGCAATACCCCTGTATGTACCTTTTGCCAGGTATATGTGGACATCGGGGGGGCACATTTGAGACACAGCCATTCCAGTTTTTTTCAAACTTTACATTTTTACGCTGTGCCCATGTCCCATTATAGAGTATTTTACCAGGCTATATAATCCAAATACCCCATAAAGCCATACCATTTCTTAAAGAAGACATCCCAGGGTATTTCAAAAGGCATATTTTGAACCTCACACACAAAGTGAATTTGCACAGTATATTTTGCAAACCTTATGTGTGCTATGACTGTATAATACTTCATATGTTGCCCAGCTATGTCGTCTGAGTACAGCAATACCACGTATGTACCTTTGCCAGGTATATGTGGATGTTGAAGGGGCGCATTTGAGATGCAGCCATTCAGTTTTTTTCTAACTTTGAAGTTTTACGCTGTGTCCATGTTCCAATTTTGAGTAGTTTAGACGGTTGGTTATTGAAACTTCTCCACAAACACAAACTATTTATTAAAGAATACACCCTGGGGTAATTCAAAAGGCATATTTTAAACCTTAGTGTGGGATCATTTTTTCTCTAGTTTGTTCCAGGTGTAGTGGTAATGAGCGTTTTTTTTATTCATTTTTTTACTTTTTTTACTTTTTTTACTTTTAAAAACTAGTTTTTAAACTTTTGTTTTGCTTACTAATTTTTTTAAACTTTCCTAAACTTTCTTAAAACTTTTTTTTACAGATTTAAAATTTTTCTAAGCTTTTTTTTTTACCGTTAACCCCTAACTAGCAGTAAGCAGCACTAACAGTAAATTCCCAATTTTCTCATAACTCCCACCCACCCCAGCTAGCAAAATATACAATTATAAAATATTTAAATTAATTAAATTAATTAAACCCCTGAGGGTTAAAAAATAAATAAAAGTTAGTCCTCAGGGGTTAAAAAAAATTAGATCACAGTATAATACTGTGATATGTATTTTGATCAATGTAGGCAGTGATCGACTGGCAGGGAAGGGGTTAATTTTTATTTGGACTGGGTAAAGGGGGGTGTTTTTTTTATTTTTTACTTAAACGTTATTACAACTTTTTTTTAGCTTAATTTTTAACTTTTTAAAGTTTATTTTAAAACTTCTTTTAACGTTAACCCCTAGTTAGCCTAACACCAAATCTCCCAATTCCCCACTAACTTCCACCCACCCCAGCTAGCTAAATATATAATTTTAAAATATGTAAAATTAATTAGTTAAATAAATTTAACCCCTGAGGGTTAAAAAAAAAAAGAATTAACCCTCAGGGGTTAAAAAATAAATAAAAATCAGATGACAGTAAAATTTAATCCCTGCCAATTGATCACTGTGATCAGTGATCAATTGGCAGGGAAGGGGTTAATTTTTAATTAAAATGCATAAAGAGGGGTGGGATTTTAAATAAACTTTATATATATATTTTTTTTAACAGGGGGCAGGATCAGCACTGTTCCGGCTCCCTGCACTTCACACAGAACCAGGAAGTGCAGGGAGGCAGAAGGTAAATATACTAAGCACATGTGCTCGCACTGACATCCTGTCAGAGCGAGCACATGTGCTGGGGTAGCACTATCGGGTGCTCCCGGTCTGCCTCTAATACAGAGGCAGTCCGGAGCACCATTAACCCCGCAATCGCGGCGATCCGGGGTTAATTTTAACGGGTGATGGACCTTGTCCGTCACTCGTCGTTAAGGGGTTAAATTAAAAAAAATATTTGTGAGTATATGAGAAAATGTGTATTAGTCAGTGTTTGTGTCTGTCAGTAAATGTGTGTGTCAGTATTTGTGAGTGAGTTAATGTTTGTCTGACAGTGTGTGTGTCTGTGAGTAAATGTGTGTCTGAGTGTGTATATCTGAGAGTGTTTGCCTGCAGGGGCGGGCTGGGCCGGGGGGCAGGGAGGCAATTGCCCCCCAGGCCGCCCTAAATTCTGTTAGGACCGGCCACTGCAGGGCCGGCCCTTTAAATGCTGCAGCCGCCTGAGCGCTCTGTGAAGAGCCTCAGGCGGCTGCAGCTGCTCTTCTCCTCCCCTCCCTTGTAGCATGGCCGAGCTGCTCGCTGGCCCGCGGTGCCCGGCCGGACTGATAGGAAGGTGCACACTCAGTGTGCACTTCCTGTCAGTCCGGCCGGTTACAGGAAACAGAAACTCCGCGCGGAACAGGAAATTCTGTTCCGCGCGGAGTTTCTGTGTCCTGTAGCTGAGTGCTGAGTGTGCACCTTCCTATCAGTCCGGCCGGGCACCGCGGACCTGCGAGCAGCTCGGCCACGCTACAGGGGAGGGGAGGAGAGGTGAGGGGGGGGAGCAAGGAAGGAGAGGGGGGGATAAATGAAGGAGGGGAATATGAAGGAGGGGGACAAGGAGGGGAATAAGTGAAGGAGGGGGAATAAGGAAGGAGGGGGGAATAAGTGAAGGAGGGGGAATAAGGAAGGGGAGAATAAGTGAAGGAGGGGGAAGAATAAGGAAATAAGGAAGGAGGGGGGGGAATAAGAAGGGAGGGGGGGAACAAGAAGGAGGGGGAACAAGTGGAAGGAGGGGAATGAAGGGGTGGTTCATGAAGGGGGAGAATGAAGAAGGAGGGGGGGAATAAGTTAATGGGGAGAATAAGTGAAGGAGGGGAAGAATAAGGAAGGGGGTGGAATGGGTTGGGGGTGGAATAAGTGAAGGAGGGGGGAGGAAAACATGAAGGAGGGGGGAATAGCGAAGAGGGGAATAAGTGAAGGATACGGGAACAAGTGAAGGAGGTAAAGGAATAAGTGAAGGAGGGGAGAGAAGGAGGGGAATAAGTGAAGGGGGTGAATAAGCAGGCTGGGGGAATAAGAAGGAGGGGGTGAACAAGTGAAGGGGAATAAGTGAGGGTGGGTGGAATAAGTGAAGGGGGAACATGAAGGAGGGGAATATGAAGCAGGGGTGGAATAAGGAAGGAGGGGGGAATAAGAAGGGTGGATAAGTGAAGTGGGGGAGTAAATGAAGATGGGGTGTAAATGAAGATGGGGTGCAAGAAGAGGGGGGGAGTAAGTGAAGGAGGGGAGATTGAAGTGGAGTGAGGAGGGAGAGTAAGGAAGGGGAGGGGGGAGTATGAAGGAGGAGGGGAGCAACAGAAGGATGAGGAGGTGAGTAGCAGAAGGAGGGGGAGGCAAAGGGGCTTAGCAAGTGAAGGAGGGGGAGGCGGAAGATGGGGAGTAAATGAAGATGGGGTGTAAATGAAGAGGGGCAAGAAGGAGGGGAGAGTAAGCGAAGGGGGAATATGAAGGAGGGGGAGAGTAAGTGAAGGAGGGGGGAGTAACAGAAGGAGGAGGAGGGGGAGAGTAAGTGAAGGAGGGGGGAGTAAGTGAAGGAGGGGGGAGTAACAGAAGGAGGAGGAGGGGGAGAGTAAGTGAAGGAGGGGGGAGTAAGTGAAGGAGGGGGGAGTAACAGAAGGAGGAGGAGGGGGAATAATAAGAAGAAGGGGGTATGAAAAACGGGGGGTAAGAAGAACAAGGGGGGAGTAAGAAAAACACAAGGAGGAGGGGGAGAGTAAGAGTGAGGAGAAGGGGAGATGAGGAGAAGGGGGGACTGAGAAGAACACAGGGAGGGTGGGTTGTGAGGAGAAGGGGAGATGAGGAGAAGGGGGATTGAGAAGAACACAGGGAGGGTGGGTGGTGAGGAGAACACAGGGAGAAGAAGGTGAGGAGGACACAGGGAGGAGAGGGGGTAAGAAGAACACAGGAAGGGGGGAGTTGAGGAGAACACAGGGAGGGGGGAGGTGAGAAGAACACATGGAGGGTGGATGAGAAGAGCACAGGGAGGGTGGGTGAGTGTGAGAAGAGACCGCTAGGGGAGGGTGGGGGAGAGGAGAGACCACTAAGGGGGCAGGGGAGAGCAAGAAGGGACAGCTCTATAGGACAGGGGGCAAGACAGGGAGCTCTTTCACACTACGCACACACACACAATGCATCCATATACATACACAGAAACACACAATGCATCCCTACACACACAAAAACACAACATGCTTCCCTTACACACAGAGAAACACACAATACATCCATTACACACACACACAATGCAACCCTTACACACAAAGACAATGCATCCTTTGCACACATACACAGAAACACACAGTGCAAACCCTTACACACACACACTGCTTTTCTTACATACACACAGAAACACAATGCATCACTAACACACACACTTACAAACACACACCTTGTATCCCTTATGCATACAAACACAGATTCACACAATGCATCCCTTACACACAACCAGAAACACACAATACATCCCTTATACACAAATACACGCTGCTTCCACTACACACAAACACACTGCATCACCTACTGTCAGCCATCACTACATACCATAAACACACATAGCCAAGATCCCTCTACAATAACACACCAACACACTCCCTACACCTCCACTCCCTGTGGCGAACTCATAGGTAGAGTAGAACTTATAAAATAGGCAGCCATACTCACCGTCAAGCCACAGAGACCCCAGACAGCAGCTGTGTAAGGAGCCCCAAAAAATTGAGCTGCTTCCAATTCTCCCAGAACATTGAATTTTGTGACCACAGTTGCAAACAGCCTCCAGAGATCCTGTTCTACTCCAGACCAGTGAGCCAAACTGCAGCCCATCATCATCCTCATCTGCTTGTAAGTAGGCAATCTAGTATATTATTAGTGACACTAATCTATAATTTACCTCACATTAAAGGGACACTATATTTCCCAGAGCGACTGGAGCTTAATGAAGTGGTTCTGGTGTCTATAGCCGGTCCCTGCAGGCTTTTTAATGTAAACACACACTGTGGGCAGCACTGGCGTTAGTTCGTATGGCAGCTCATATAGGTGGGGCATTGTGAAGTCACATGGGGGGCGGGAAATTCAGCTGTTCCCCATGCAGCCACAGGTGCCACTGTGCTGGGAGATTGTGATTACTCTTCACTTCCTCCCAGCTTACAGAGCAGCGCATGGGAGAGAGAGAGGAGGAGGCATGATTTAATCTTACAACAAATCCAGTAAGCAAATCTTTATAAATTTGAGGGGATCAGCTCTGTTTCCACAGTTTATTGGTGTTTACTCTGATGTCTGTATTAATATTGAGGGATTTCTAAGTAGTAACATCAGTGTGTCTGCAGGGCCAGCCGTTGGGCTGTGCACGCTGTGCGGTCACGCAGGGTGCCATCACAACAGAGGCGCCCGGCGGACAACACAGCTCACAAGTTGGGGACACCAGCCTATTCAATTTAAACGATTCGCTGGTGGTCCACTGGTACGCACCAGCAGTAGGTGCAGTCAGATTATAGCCTCTCCCTCGTGGTTCCGGCGCTCAATTAGTGAGTCAGAGCACACGCTCAGAGATTCTCAGCCTGCGCTTTGACAACATTGAAAGTCAGAGCCGTGAAGGAGCGGGTATGGCAAAGAGCTAGTGATTAGCATAACATCAATATCCGTTATAAAACCAGGAAAAGGTGGGCACCATTGCACTGATTTGGTGGTGCAATGGGCCACTTGACTGATTTTGCCCCCCAGGCCTAAGGCTGCCAGCCCTCCCCTGTTTGCCTGTCAATGAAAGTATGTGTTGGTTAAACAATGTGTGTGCCAATGACTGTCAGTGTCAGTATGTATCAGGGAGGGACTGTCAATTAAAGTCCGTGTTGGTCTTAAACAGGAAGAGGTGCAGCCTTGACAGGGAGGGGTGGGACAAATTTAGATTGGGGGGGTTGCCTGAGTTTAGTCATGCTTAGTGCAGCGCAAAACCAATATACACCAATAAAAACAAAGAGAACGTTACCTGCGCTCTGGCCTAAATCCCCATGTACATTTAAACAAAATGGAGGCTCTTTAGTTTTATTCCAATGGCCATTTGAATATATAAGCTCACCTGCTACGTCAAGGCAAGCCTCAAAAGGTGAGTCCCTACACTAGTCATTAGATATGCTGATATCAGCCAAGAATCTCCAGTGAGACAGGAAGGGGTATTTTATGAACCCTTTCACATTTAACCCTTTATAGGGCTTCTACACATACAATAAACTTTGCAGGTATCAGACAAATTGTAAACATCTCTAATGAGACATGAAGGGGTGTTTTATAAACCTCTACACACTTATTGACCCTAAATAGGGCTATAACACATACAAATCACCTTGCTGGTATCAGCTAAAAGGTAAATTTCTCTGATGAGACAGGAAGGGGTGCTGCCCCTACATACTTATAAACTCTTAATAAGACAAACGTGGGGAGGCTGGCAGCAATGTAACATAGCTGTGTGATACAAAATTCATATACAAACACAAATATAAAGCACAGCGCTTACAGCAGCAGTGGCTTAGTATCCAACAGCTTAAAATACATAGTAAAAACAAAGAGAACGTTACCTGCGCTCTGGCCTAAATCCCCATGTACATTTAAACAAAATGGAGGCTCTTTAGTTTTATTCCAATGGCCATTTGAATATATAAGCTCACCTGCCACGTCAAGGCAAGCCTCAATAGGTGAGTTCTTACACTAACCATTAGATATGCTGATATCAGCCAAGAATCTCCAGTAAGACAGGAAGGGGTATTTTATAAACCCTTTCACATTTAACCCTTTTTTTTATTCTTTATTTTTGTTGTGCAGGTGGGTACATAGCATATTCATACACCACAACAGCGTGCATTTATATTTATTATTATTATTATTATTATTATTTTATTATTTCTATAGCGCCAACAAATTCCGTAGCGCTGGATTTGAACATAGATAGGTGAAACAGTGGCATAGAGAATTTGCACATATTTTGAAAAGCATAATAATAAGCTAGGCAGATATGTCTGAACTATAATAAACAGTTTGCTAATTAACTCGCTTGTTTAAGTAGTAAACAGTAGAGAGTCTAACAGCTAACATCGCTGGTATATCTAGACAGCTAATTTTGGGTATCATAGAGTAACATTCAGTCTGTGTTGTACATGCTTAGTCTAGCTTTTATAGAAGAGTGGATTACAAATGGTAGGGATATGCTGGCAGCGGGTTTAACCCCTGGTGTGCCTCTGATTTCGTAGTGTAATTGTAGGCTTAGGTCGGCAACCAGTTATTTTAAGGAAAAAAGAAATAAAACCATAATGGTACTTAAAACGATGGGGAAATGCTAATGTGCATAGATGCCTAACTTGCTATGCTGTGAGACGATCGTGTCATATACTAGGCGTGCATAAAGGAGGCAAAGTTAATACACTGGCCCTGGCTATTTGCAGTTCTGTTCCCTTACTGTATTAGTCATAGCAACAAGAGTAATAAAGGAAAATTAAAAGTAGGCGCTTATAAAAAAAAATGTTAAGTCTATTACGGGTGCACTTGGAGCTGCTTGCTAGGGATGGGAGAGTCCTCTGCTTATCTGTAGAGTCAGCCGATTCCCTGTTGGGGCCAGACTGAGTTTTGCCATGTGAGTCCTGCACTGGTGTCCCCTGTATCCCTCTTGCTGGTCTGTGTCAGGTACCTTTCTTTGGTCGGGTAAAGCATGATCAGGTGAGGCGTCGTTTGGCTGGGGCTCATCCGTGTACTCGGTCCGTGTGGATGGTTGTCCGTGCAGATGCGGTGTTCGGTAGAATGCCCTCCTCCGGTATGCACCCGGAGTGCTGTGCTGCTGCGGGTCTGGTAACCGCTGAGTGTCGAGTGCAGTCTGGGCTCGGGTCTTGTGGGGTGGTTCGGAGATGTTTAGCCGGTCGCTTATGTATTCGCCTTACCACTCTCCGCCAGTGTGGCCGGCACCTCTGGGTCATGCCCATTGTTGCTCCCGGTCCGGGAGGTTCCTTGACGTGGAGGTTTAGAGTAGGGGCCATCGAGTTGCCCTGGTGAGTATGCCCTGTCCTCTTTCCGCCGATAGCTCTGCCCTTCGCGGGTGGGTTTCGGTTTGGTATGTCAGGCTGTAAGCGTGCCGCTAACTTGGCCCAGAAGTGGTAAAAAATTAATGCGATAGAGTCTTTTGTGTGGTCTACGGTTTCTGTTTTAGCATGCTGTTGCCGTTGCTTATCAGACACTATCGTGTCAGAGTGATGAGTGCATGTCTCTTGTTTGGTGCGGTAAGCGTCTGGCGGGAAGGCAGCCGTCCTACCCCCGTGCCTCCGCTAGGCCTCATGTAGCTGCTGCGGTGCACGGTGTAGTTGGGTGTCATCAGTGGCGTACACACCAGGGTTGCAAGGGTCACGGCTGCGACCGGGCCCGGCCCACCAGGGGGCCCGGCCGCCCCTGCGACCCGGTGTGTACCCACAAGGCCAGCCTCTTCCCCTGGGGGGCCCAGGAGCCGACCACCCCAGGGCCCCCCGAGGCTGGCCCTGCTGTCACCGGGCAGGCGGGTGGCTGGTCGGGCAGGCGGGCGCACGAGGGAGCACTCAGTGCTTCCTCTTCAGCTCCCTCGCGCACCGCACTGATACCGGAGCCGGAAGATGATGTAATCTTCCGGCGCCGGCATCACTACGCGGCGCGCGAGGGAGCTGAAGAGGAAGCACTGAGTGCTCCCTCGCGCGCCCGCCTGCCCGACCAGCCACCCGCCCAGGAGCCCAGCAGCACCACTGGACCCCAGGGAATCCCCCCAGCACTCCAAAAGGTAAGGAGGCTGGGGGGATTACATTTTAAAAAAAAACACATGTGTTAGTGTTAGAGTGAGTGTTAGAGTTAGTGTGTGAGAGTGTTAGTGTGAGTCTTAGTGTGTGTGTCTGCTAGTGAGTGTTAGTATGTGTGAGTGTTAGTGTGCGTGTCTGCTAGTGAGTGTCAGTGAGTCTTTGATGTCTGTTAGTGAGTGCGTGTTTGTCAATGAGAGTGTATGTATGTCTGTCGCTGAGTGTGTCTCTGTCAGTAAATGTGTGTGTCTGTTAACTAGTGTGTATGCGTTTGTAAGTGTGTGTGTGTGTCTTCAGCACTTACCTTTCTCCAGCGCCGGACTCCCTTGGCGCTGGGGATCCCTCAGCCTCTCAGCTCCAAATGCGACCGCGCACGCGTTCAAACCGCCCATAAGAAAGCATTACTCAATGCTTTCCTATGGACGTACAGTGTGCTCCTCTAGCGGCTGTCAGTGAGACAGCCACTAGAGGCTGGATTAATCCTCAGTGAAACATAGCAGTTTCTCTGAAACTGCTATGTTTTCAGCTGCAGGGTTAAAACTAGAGGGACCTGACACCCAGACAACTTCATTGAGCTAAAGTGATCTGGGTGTCTGTAGTGGTCCTTTAAGTGTGTGTGCATCTGCATGCACTGGCGTACATACCGCGGTCGCAGGGGTCGCAGCCCTGTAACCCCTGCGACCAGGTGCCCACCGCCATGTGTTGCGGCCTGGCCCACGGATCAATTTTCGCACCGGGGCCCCATGGGTCATGTGTACGCCACTGGGTGTTATGATTAGTATCGGCAGGTCTGTGGCTGCTTCCTCTGTTCAAGTAGCCTATTTGTGGGTAGTTTCCAGCAGGTAATCTTTTGGTAATCGTCGATTTTGGCTCCACACTACAGCTCCTCATGCAGCGTGCGACCGTTCAGATTGCTAGTTCGGCTCCGCCCCTCCCACATTTAACCCTATATAGGGCTTCTACACATACAATAAACTTTGCTAGTATCAAAGTGTAAACATCTCTAATGAGACATGAAGGGGTGTTTTATAAACCCCTACATACTTAACCCTGAATAGGGCTATAACACAAGGTGATTTGTATGTGTTATAGCCCTATTCAGAGTTAAGTATGTAGGGGTTTCTAAAACACCCCTTCATGTCTCAGAGATGTTTACACTTTGTCTCAGCAAAGTTTATTGTATGTGTAGAAGCCCTATAAAGGGTTAAATGTGAAAGGGTTTATAAAATACCCCTTCCTGTCTTACTGGAGATTCTTGGCTGATATCAGCATATCTAATGGTTAGTGTAAGAACTCACCTATTGAGGCTTGCCTTGACGTGGCAGGTGAGCTTATATATTCAAATGGCCATTGGAATAAAACTAAAGAGCCTCCATTTTGTTTAAATGTACATGGGGATTTAGGCCAGAGCGCATGTAACCTTCTCTTTGGTTTTACTATGTATTTTAAGCTGTTGGATGCTAAGCTACTGCTGCTGTAAGCGCGGTGCTTTATTTTTGTGTCAATATACACCAATGTTTGTGTGTATTTTTTTGTAATACATAGATATAGGTAAATAACTTTTTTTTGTCCATCTCTTGGTTTACCCTTCATTTCTGAGGACAGACATCCTTTAGTCAGATGCACAGCTAATCTAAATCAAAAACTGTGCTGGTAATGAATACCTAATATGTGTTATTTACATTCATTGAACAATAGTGCATGCTACTAAAAAAGACTGGGCATACTCCATATTGAATACCCTGGGTTGTCTACTTTAAAAAAAAAAAAAAAAAAATGTGATTGCGAGGTGTGATTCAGAGATTTATGACAGATAACAGTGTTACAATGTCACTATTGATAAATTTAAAAAATATATATTTTGAAACAGCAATGTCCTACTTGTACTTATAACCCTATAACTTGAAGAAAAAAAATTTACATTGGGTATTTCTAAAATCAGGACAAAATGTAGAAACTATTTAGCACGGGTGTTTTTTGGCAGTTGTAGATGCGTAACAGATTGTGGGGGTCTAAGTAAGAAAAAGTGTGCTTCTTGCTTCAATATATGATGAATATAGATCTCATATGAAACCAAAAAAATGGAAAAAGAAGAATAAAATGACTGTATGAATAAAGAGTAAAAAAAGCATTTATTACTTACATCAAAGTAAATAATATCAGTCCAACGCGTTTCTTCCCTGTTAGGGACAATCTTTAACAAGTGTTGAATATAAGTGCACTTATATTCAACACTGTTGTTAAAGATTGTCCCTGAGGAACCCCCTAACAGGGAAGAAACGCGTTGGACTGATATTTACTTTGATGTAAGTAATAAATGCTTTTTTTACTCTTTATTCATACAGTCATTTTATTCTTTTTCCATTTTTTTGGTTTCATTTGAGATCTATATTCATCATATATTGAAGCAAGAAGACACACCAAGCACACTTCTTAAGGCATTTCTTGGGATGTTAAAGTCTGGCACTTACTCATATATCCATTTTACCACAGACAATATTGCACTATACCATGTATTCTTTATTCCCATAGCTTGGAATAGCCCTATACCATATACTTACTGAATTGAAGACAGGAGGAAATCTTCGGGCATATCCTATATTGCTAAGGGAAGTTATTCTTTATTTGTTTATTTCACTATAATCACTTTAAGTTGTAATTTTTTATATCACTGTATGTGGATTTTAGAATCATAGTCACAAATTTACGAGTGTGTGAGAGATTCTATATATATTTCTGAATATTTAATTCATTCAGATCTAGGATGTGTTCCCTTTATTTTTTTGAGCAATGTAGTTATAATTTTTCTTTTGTAACTGCGACTGGCACAAGGAAGGCAAAAAAAGATTCAGAATAAAACAACATACTAAAAGCCAGCATTTCAGGTCTTATATAACATCCCTCTGCGTAAGGCTTAACAAAGAAAGGAAAGTGGCTTTATTTCTCTAGTCCTTAGCTTTCCTGAGTTTGCTTTGGAGGCCTGCCAACTTCCCAGATCCCTTCCCTTCAACTGCTACTTATTTCAACAAAAATCAGGTCAAAATACAAGCACAACTTTATGGTAATTTACTTGCTGCTTTACATTAGTATGAATAGAGAGCTTCTATCCACAAACAGGAGGAGTCAGAGTGGGCTATTCACTAGACTAGCTGGAAAAAACAAGAGTTTTAGAATTCTTTCAGTTTGGTCGTAAATTTTAAATACCCTTGTCAATTCTTCACAATTTCAGGTATCGTACATAAATGTCTATATAAAAAGGTCTGCATATGTTAATGTAAGTATAGGTAACTAGCAAACTATATATGTATGCACATGCACAAGTGTGTTTACATCTGTATGTATATATGTATTTATAGGTTACTGCCGAACTACATGAATGTACGTGCAGAGGCTTGTGGCTAGTTTTACATTTATGCATACGAGAGGCTGATATGGCATGAATGAAAATGAGGTTCAATTAGGTATGCGTGAGAGAGTGTGTTGAGGTGTAAGGATATGTTATGTATGTGTCACTGTTGAAAATGTTGATCATCTCTAAAATGGACACTGTAGCCACTTCTCACCAAAGTGGTTAGAGTGCCTTGAGTGCCCTCTTACGGTCCTTCCACTCAGTGTTGAATTTTTTTTTATTTTCAATCTAAATGACAGTCCTCAGCAGCATGCCACTGATACGGAAGATAATGAGCATGTATTATCCTGAGAATCAGTGGGTGTCTGCGACTGCCTAAGAGTGTCAGCTGACAACTTTCAGGCAATCACAGTCGCACATTGCAAGTATGAATTGGTATGGATAAAGAAGAGCGTAATCTCTCCCTTAGCCATGCCACCATTGGCGGCATGGCTGTGGACAGACATGGGCGCTCAGTGTTAAGCTGCTCAATAATGGGACCCCATGCACCATAACCAATTTAATGAGAATAAATAGTTACAGAGCCTAGAGTGTCCCTTTAACTTGTGGTCCTAGCACTTCAGTTTAAGAGAAATTTCTTAAGCCCTGATATATGTTTTGCATAAAACATTTGTATCTATCAGCAAGTGAAATGTTGTCCTAGGCTCTTTTAGGGATAATTATCTTCATAGTTCTTATTTCTGAGTTATGGTGCACCTCACAGTTGTCATATAGCTTTATTATGCCAGAATTCAAAT